ACGCACCATCAACACTAGCGAAAATACGCAAATCAACACCAGCCAAAATGCGCACACATTAGGAATACACAGTGACAATAACGGGTGCGCTAACTGAAATGTATCAAATTCATAGATATACACAAATATACAATTGCAAGTTGGTAGTTATGTCGTTGTTTCGACACATGTTTTTTCAGGCTGCGTTATCCAGAGTGGCTATATTTCTAGAGGCGCCACGGTAACTGAATCTATTCACCACTGCAGTAAATAACAATTGTTTCCTTTAAGCAGTAATGAGGCAAAACGAGCTTGGGTACAAAACGTACAGCGTAATTCGTTTGTAGTCTTAAATGTAAGTGGGGAACAAAATCTTATTGTACCAGAGATTCGATAGTTTTATCGGACATAGTGTGGATAATCATCTGTGTACGTGATTTAATTTTTGCGCCATCTGTCCACGACATAAGAGACTTGTGAACAGACATTTCTAGGAGAAACACGCCATGAACACGTCTACTTCTCGCCCGAGGCTAGTAATTAACTGAATCGGGTGGTCAGGCTCGGTGTGTGTGTGTGTGTGTGTGTGTGTGTGTGTGTGTGTGTGTGTGTGTGTGTGTGTGTGTGTGTGTGTGTGTGTGTGTGTGTGTCTCCGTGTGTATATCAACGCATAACAACTAGTGGGGTCTACTCCTTGTATATATCAACGCATAACAACCAGTGGGGTCTACCCCGTGTATATATCAACGCATAACAACTAGTGGGGTCTACTCCGTGTATATATCAACGCATAACAACTAGTGGGGTCTACTCCGTGTATATATCAACGCATAACTACTAGTGGGGTCTACTCCGTGTGTATATCAACGCATAACAAGTAGTGGGGTCTACTCCGTGTGTCCATAAACGCATAACAACCAGTGGGGTCTACTCCGTGTATACATCAACGCATAACAACCAGTGGGGTCTACTCCGTGTATACATCAACGCATAACAACCAGTGGGGTCTACTCCGTGTGTATATCAATGCATAACAACTAGTGGGGTGTACTCCGTGTATATATCAACGCATAACAACTAGTGGGGTCTACTCCGTGTATATATCAACGCATAACAACTAGTGGGGTCTACTCCGTGTGTATATCAACGCATAACAACTAGTGGGGTGTACTCCGTGTATATATCAACGCATAACAACTAGTGGGGTCTACTTCGTGTGTATATCAACGCATAACAACCAGTGGGGTCTACTCCGTGTGTATATCAACGCATAACAACTAGTGGGGTCTACTCCGTGTATATATCAACGCATAACAACCAGTGGGGTCTACTCCGTGTATATATCAACGCATAACAACTAGTGGGGTCTACTCCGTGTATATATCAACGTATAACAACTAGTGGGGTCTACTCCGTGTATATATCAACGGATAACAACTAGTGGGGTCTACTCCGTGTATATATCAACGCATAACAACCAGTGGGGTCTACTCCGTGTGTATATCAACGCATAACAGCTAGTGGGGTGTACTCCGTGTATATATCAACGCATAACAACTAGTGGGGTCTACTCCGTGTGTATATCAACGCATAACAACCAGTGGGGTCTACTCCGTGTGTATATCCTGCTGCGTTGTTATGGTTCAGAGAGATATAAGGTGTCATGGAGTCCAACAGGGTTTTAGATGCCTGCTCTGTGTTTCAGTTCAAGGTTTACTTTGACACAGTCGGGGTCCGACCCTCCTTCATTCACAGTCCCCAACACGCCTCCCTGGCTCCTGGAACATATTGTCACATACACAACCCACAATGTCAAGCAAGTAACAAAGCTTTAAAATTGAGCTGGTGTAGAGTTTCTTGTTTTGACGGAATTGTCTGTGTTCAACGGGTTCGGACAACTGTTCAATTATCGTCTTGACCTTTTAAAAGAGTTCAACAGACATATCGGTTAAACACATTTTGATGAGTATCGAAACAGATATAGTTGAACTATATAAAAAGAATTATTCGCAACTTGAATATTATAGCAATACAGTCAATACAATGCCATATATTTATATAATTATACTAATAGCAAGTGATTCCTATTTTGTGAAGAGTTTGTTAACATTACTTAAGTTTACATTTTCCAGCAGTCAGTTCAATGCCATATATATTTTTAATTTAAAGTTTCCACGATAAACGGCTTTTCCATTGGACGAGAGGTCGGTCACATGACCGCGGCCTTGACGTTCATATGTGTATGAACGGCACAACTTGACGTTCATACGTTTTTCAGGAGACCGTGTATTGAAATGACGTCATCACCGACGGACTACTTCCACATTCCTGGTGAAACCCCTGGGAACTTCCCACCACGAGTACATACAGAAGCTTCTTTCTGATCATTTAGACTCATTTATCATGAGCTCATCGTTTAAGTTTACATTGAGAAACGTCAGAGAGTTTGACTGCATGGACGTTAACGAATAACCTCGCTACGACCCATCCCAGTGAACAAAACGAAGAAATGCACGTCCAAACCATCGTAGTATCGACTCGACCCGTGTCTAGGCTGGCAGTGAGAGTCTACAACCCCGCCTCGCTCTCTCCATACACACAACCCCCTCCTCGCTATTTCCCATAATCTCAACTCCCGCCTCGCTCTCTCCCATACCCTCAACTCCCGCCATCTCTCTGGTCCATACCCACAATCCCCGTCACATTCTCTCCCATACCCTCAACCCCCGCCTCTCTCTCTCCCATACCCTCAACCCCCGCCACCTCTCTCTCCCATACCCTCAACCCCCGCCACCTCTCTCTCTCCCATACCCTAAACTCCCGCCACCTCTCTCTCTCCCATACCCTCAACTCCCGCCAACTCTCTCTCTCCCATACCCTCAAGCCCCGCCACCTCTCTCTTTCCCATACCCTCAACCCCCGCCTCTCTCTCTCCCATACCCTCAACCCCCGCCTCTCTCTTTCCCATACCCTCAACCCCCTCCTCTCTCTCTCCAATACCCTCAACCCCCGCCTCTCTCTCTCCCATATCCTCAACCCCCGCCTCTCTCTTTCCCATACCCTCAACCCCCGCCTCTCTCTCTCCCATACCCACAAACCCCGCCTCTCTCTCTCCCATACCCACAACCCCCGCCACCTCTCTCTTTCCCATACCCTCAACCCCGCCTCATTCTCTCCCATACCCTCAACCCCCGCCTCTCTCTCTCCCATACCCACAAACCCGCCTCTCTCTCGCCCATACCCACAATCCCCGTCACATTCTCTCCCATACCCTCAAGCCCCGCCTCTCTCTCTCCCATACCCTCAACCCCCGCCTCACTCTCTCTCCCATACCCACAAACCCGCTTCTCTCTCTCTCTCCCAAACTCACAAACCCGCCTCGCTCTCTCCCATACCCACAAACCCGCCTTGCTCTCTCTCCCATAGCCACAAACCCGCCTCTCTCTCTCTCTCTCATACCCACAAACCCGCCTCGCTCTCTCCCATACCCACAAACCCGCCTCTCTCTCTCTCTCCCATACCCACAAACCCGCCTCTCTCTCTCTCTCCCATACCCACAAACCCGCCTCTCTCTCCCATACCCACAAACCCGCCTCTCTCTCTCTCTCCCATACCCACAAACCCGCCTCTCTCTCTCTCCCATACCCACAAACCCGCCTTGCTCTCTCTCCCATACCCACAGACCCGCCTTGCTCTCTCTCTCCCATACCCACAAACCCGCCTCTCTCTCTCTCCCATACCCACAAACCCGCCTCTCTCTCTCTCCCATACCCACAAACCCGCCTCTCTCTCTTTCCCATACCCACAAACCCGCCTTGCTCTCTCCCATACCCACAAACCCGCCTCACTCTCTCTCCCATACCCACAAACCCGCCTCTCTCTCTCTCCCATACCCACAAACCCGCCTCTCTCTGTCTCCCATACCCACAAACCCGCCTCTCTCTGTCTCCCATACCCACAAACCCGCCTCTCTCTCTCTCCCATACCCACAAACCCGCCTCGCTCTCTCCCATACCCACAAACCCGCCTCTCTCTGTCTCCCATACCCACAAACCCGCCTCTCTCTCTCTCCCATACCCACAAACCCGCCTCTCTCTCTCTCCCATACCCACAAACCCGCCTCTCTCTCTCCCATACCCACACACCCGCCTCTCTCTCTCTCCCATACCCACAGACCCGCCTCTCTCTCTCCCATACCCACACACCCGCCTCTCTCTCTCCCATACCCACAAACCCGCCTTGCTCTCTCTCCCATACCCACAGACCCGCCTCGCTCTCTCCCATACCAACAAACCCGCCTCTCTCTCTCTCCCATACCCACAAACCCGCCTCTCTCTCTCTCCCATACCGACACACCCGCCTCTCTCTCTCTCCCATACCCACACACCCGCCTCGCTCTCTCCCATACCCACACACCCGCCTCTCTCTCTCTCCCATACCCACAAACCCGCCCTGCTCTCTCTCCCATACCCACAAACCCGCCTCTCTCTCTCTCCCATACCCACAAACCCGCCTCTCTCTCTCTCCACCACCAACAAACCCGCCTCTCTCTCTCTCCCATACCCACAAACCCGCCTCTCTCTCTCTCCCATACCCACAAATCCGCCTCTCTCTCTCTCCCTTACCCACAAACCCGCCTCACTCTCTCTCCCATACCCACAAACCCGCCTCTCTCTCTCCCATACCCACAAACCCGCCTCTCTCTCTCTCCCATACCCACAGACCCGCCTTGCTCTCTCTCTCCCATACCAACAAACCCGCCTTGCTCTCTCTCCCATACCCACAAACCCGCCTCTCTCTGTCTCCCATACCCACAAACCCGCCTCACTCTCTCTCCCATACCCACAAACCCGCCTCGCTCTCTCCCATACCCACAAACCCGCCTCTCTCTCCCATACCCACAAACCCGCCTCTCTCTCCCATACCCACAAACCCGCCTCGCTCTCTCCCATACCCACAAACCCGCCTCTCTCTCCCATACCCACAAACCCGCCTCTCTCTCCCATACCCACAAACCCGCCTCGCTCTCTCCCATACCCACAAACTCCGCCTCGCTCTCTCCCATCCCCACCAGCATGTTACATCATCATTTGTTTCCACACATTCAAGCTGCTGCAGCCTGAGAGAGAGTCCAGTCCGCTCCACACTGCAAGCATCCGTTCAGCGCCCTCTGCCTGCACGCGAGCCCGGGGGTAAATCAGAGGCTGCCAGCACCCCCGCGTCAGTTATATGGAAACTGCGTTTATATAGCATCGGCTGCTCATGAATGAAGTCAGGCGCCAGGCCACAACACACAGTTGGGAAGAGCCGTGTGTTCTCAGTCAGTGGGTAGAGACTGTCGAGTGTTTCTTGTCATGACTCGGATCTCGGAGGACGTATCTCGTCATTTGTGGTTAGGAATATCAGGGTCACAAAACACCTCGGCACAATATATCGCCCAGAGGACAGCTTTAATGTGTGACTTTTAAATTAGTCTCATCTTCCTCGTCAATAGATGTCAGTTTTTAACGACCTACATCAGCGTTGATCATGGGCATTAAAAACGAATTCCGTATTTCCAACTTTGGATTAAACCACAGTGAAGCGCAAAGATTTGTCACATCTCAGGTAAGATAAGGACTAGGATTTATTTAGGAGATAAACGTACCGTGTTTTCAATGTAGAGCTAGCTAGATTTAACCGCGCAAAATTGTATTTAGACTCGAACGGGCAGCGCGAGGTTTAAAATGTTAAATTTAGCGCTGTGAAATCTACAGGTAACCTAGCTCTTCATTGAAAACACAGTATATTTATCTACATTCTACGATGACTACATAAAACGCTCACTCCTTGGTGTTAGAAAATATATATGGAGTGAAGGGACATGGGTTGAGTCCAGTGTTTTGAGTGGGCTGTCGATCAGAATTTACGGAGTCACCAATCTCATTAAAATCAGACCTTAGTTCTCGCTACCGCTAAACAAAGATCTGAGGACATTCCATTACGGGTCACGTCAGACCGACCTTGCGCGAACTTTGACCGACCAATGGAATGACCAATCAGAAGGCAGCTTTCTCGTGTTTTACGGCACTAATTTCAAATTGGCGACTACCCTTCGAAACATATTTTGACAAATTCTCGATTACAAATTTGAAACCTGGACAAAAGAACATTCTGGAATGGCTAATATATGGTCTAGATTGTATGGATTCAGTCGTTAAACCCGTAACTATCGTTCGGAGTTGAAGTTTTCGAGGTTGCATGATTAGACATCACATTCCGACTGTCACTTTCACAATTTGGTAAGCGATGCTGTGATTGGTCGGATGAAAGGTGTTCTGACGTGACCCGTAATGGGATGTCCTCAGATCTTTGTTTAGCGGCAGCGAGAACTGAGGTCTGATTTTAATGAGATTGCGGAGTCACCGACAACAGCTTTTAAATAAAATATGGCGCTTTGTATGCACAAGCTGTTTATTTGCATTATTTAATACTTCACTCGAACTTATGACAGGCATAAAAGCATATATCACTACAGCTTCGTAAACTAACATGAGGTGGTCACCCCTAAAGCTTTAGTTCCACACCGAACATAATTATGATGAGAGGTATATATCGCTCATTGTGACGCAAAAGATATGACGTCATGGTCGTAAACAGAAAAGCGCCAATGGGCAATCTCTCTGTTGTTCTCAAAACTTGAAATACAATTTCTTGGTAGATTTTTATCGTGTTTTATGCACGAAATATATTGCCACACATCCTTTGAATATTGTAGTACCGCAACTTTGCATTTTTGTTGCCTATAATTGTACATACAAGTATTTAAAATGCCTACCGACAATGACTATAAAAGAAGCACTGTTCTAAAAATATCCGCCTCAGATCGGCTGTTTCAATCAGAGGGGGTGTAGTGTGTTATCCTTGATTGACCAATCAAAATCGAGTATTTTCCAAATTCAGAATTATGTTTACTGATTATTTCCATAAACTTTAAAATTTACAAAGTGGCGAAAATATTCAAGTAAATCAGTCACCTAAGATGTTTTTTGCATTGAAGACAGGAAGGTATTTTAATATTCAAAAGTGTTCTAGTGATATGGAAAGGTGCTTCGTAAATTATATTGACATTGGGACAAGTGTCCCCGGGTATGTTTTGATGGCGCAGTAAGATTAATCCACATACCTCAGCTATCAAGTACAATTACAATGTCGCCATGCACGCAGTCGAGGGGTGCGTTGAAAGACCAGCTGTATATCCAACACTAACGACGGGAGTTACTGACTCTCCCTCTGCACGAACACTAGGTGTCTGTAGTCTGACAGATGAGTTATCAGTGTAAATATTGGAATTATCAGATCTCATATTGTTGGGCTTTTTCTATTGCCCAAATACCTTGAAGGGCTGAATACCCCGAATGTATGGAATCCCAGAAGAGACATTGTCGCGCTTACAAAAACAAGCAAAAAGTGTCAAATTAACCAATGCGCGTCAATGCGACAATGCGATATATTTTGACCTTAAAAAATGTCGAGTGGTCGCGTATCCTTTGGTAACAATAAATAGTAAAAAATAGGATTTAAACCGCGTCAATGCGACAACGAAATAAATGTCGCATTGTAGCATTGTCGTGCTTTGGCTAGTTTTGACACGTTTTCCTTGTTTTTGTCAGGGTGACAACCCGACAATGTCCCTTCTTTTATTCCATAGTATTTGTAATGTTAGGCGTTGTGAGGCCTGCTCGTATAGCTGTATCGCGAGAGGATACCCTGGTCTATCTAGAATGTTCACTACGTACAAAGTGATCCGTGGGTGCATAGGTGGTCCATTTAACATAACTACAACTGTGAAGACAGGACACGCCGTGAGTGGGTTCGAATCCTTCATGATGATGATCCTTGGGGTGTCAGCACCGTAAAACGTTCGTGGGTTTCACCAGCTGTAAACGTCTTGGACCTGTGTCACTTCGGACTTTCACACCCACACACCAATCTACCACGCGGGGGCACGCGTGGCCCAGTCGTCTAAGGCGCCGCGATGCGCTGTGCAGAAACCTATGACTGTGGGTTCGAATCCCGGTTCGCCCCAATTATGTTTCTAGGTTTGTCAGCACTATACCCGTGCTCGTTGGTTTCACCGAAGTGGTAAACGTCTGAGACCTGCATCACTTCGGGCTTTCCTCCCACATTAAGCTGACACGCCGCGATGTAACTGGATTACTGTTAAAAGCGGCGTTAAACCCAACTCACTCACTCTCCGGGCAGACGCTCTACCACTAGACCACGGAGGCGGTCGTGTCACTTCGCACTTTCCCCCCCACCAATCTACCACGCCGTGACATAACTAAAATATTGTTCCAATATATTGTTAAACCCGACTTACTCAGTCATGGCGGCTTGCTCTCGAAGGCTGAAAATTGTCGGGTGGTCAGGCTCGCTGAGTCGGTTGAGGCATGTCATCGTATCCCAATGGCGTTGATCGATGCTCATGATATCAGTCACTGGATTGTCTTGCCCTGACTCGATTATTTACAGAACGCCGTCATGTAGCTTGAATATTGCTTGATGTAAACAACACAGCTCCCCCATCTTGAAGTCACTACATTGGCTGCAAATACGCGAGAGGATAGATTAAAAAATCCTCTCTCTTGTCTACCAGTCTCTTCATAACACTGGGACCGCCTCCGTGGTCTAATGGTAGAGCGTCCGCCCGATGAACGAAAGATCCGGGGTTCGATCCCCGGGCGCGTCATACCAAAAGACGTTAAAAGATGGTACTTGTTGTTACCCTGTCTGGCGCTCGGCATTAAGGGGATAAAACAAGGACTTGGTCGGCTCGGAATCAGTATACTGTGTCTGAGTGGGATATTCATGTTAAACTGCGGCATGGTATCTCAGTGAGCTAGCACTATAAATCGGAATCAGTCCGGACTAGTACAAGCAGCCACACAAACACATACACGTACATGCACGTCGCTATATAAGGGCAATAATCTTGGACGCGACGTTAAACCCCATTTCACCTCACTTCACCTCATAACACTGGCCCTGCCTATCTTCAAGAAATGTTTTCTCAATACAAATCTACCAGAAATCTCCGATCAAATGACCAGCTTCTCCTGTCTGTACCAAAATACAGACTTAAGTCCTTCGGTGCTCGATCCTTCTCTCAAGCTGGCGCCTCTCTTTGGAACACCCATCCCTTCAGCCTCTAAAGTGCACCTAGTACCACTGTGTTTAAGTCTGGACTCAAAACAATGTCCCCTCTCTGTTGCATACATGAACATATGCTGACTTTGTGCATTGAGCATGTCCCTCAGTGATGTGGATTTTGCGCTACATAAATAGCATTATTATTATGATGATGATGATGATGATGATGATGATGATGAACGTGTACATGTACCTGGTTGAACATATTGAACATACAAGTAACATTAGTTTTCTTTATGAACTTTGTATTCTTGTATTCCTTTATGCTTTAGCTTTTTTCAATTTATATTAAGTTTATGCATTGTGTTTTCAGTATTCAGTTTTAGCAACAGATGTCGGATTTTGTTATACAGTAAACTACGGTTATAACGAATTCAAAGGGACCACTAATTTTAGTTCGTTATAACCGTTGTTCGTTATAAGCATATATACAGCATAACTACAGCAAATAGTCGGGACCGAAAAAGTTCGTTATATCCGTCAGTTCGTTATAAACGTGTTCGTTATAACCGTAGTTTACGGTATACGTGTTATTGATAATCTAATCTACCTACTCACCTTTCTCTACTGGGGAACGAGATACTTCAGAATCAATGACATCAACGACATTTACACTGTAGAATATTTTACGTTTGGTTTCCGCGAACCTCAAGCTGTTGAGGTTTTGATATTCGGAGCCGCTTATCCGAGAACAACAGCTGAATTTTCGAATATGAATGACATTAAGTCTCCCCATGGCAAACAGAATATCTATACCTTGGCAAATAACACGTCAATCCCATGACGTTATTCTCGTTGAATATGTTCACTCATGGCAGCGTTACCCGTGGAAAATAAAATAAAAAACTTCTGTTTCAGTGGGGCCACCCTCGTCTCTACCTGTCATGGAGGATATTCTGGGCTCTGTTTCATACTTCCTGGCTGGTCAGTAGCATGGTGTATGCGACCAAAGTGACGTCATCACCGCTAGGTGGCGCTGTGTGGTTCATCTACCTCACCAACTGGACCTACCTCCTGCTGACCACCAGTGCTGTCCTGGACGCAGTCATCGTGGTGTTCGTCAGGATCAACAGACAGGACATTATAAAGGGTAAACTTGATCACGTATTAATCGATATATCAACGATCAAATTAGGGCTCACAAAAGCTGTCTCGATTGTTCTCTCTTTAAGAAAATATAAAGACAGTCTTTATCGAATACACCAAACAGTCACGGTATTGAAACGTTTGCTGGCCAGACCCAAAGCTCCAAAGATATGTCCATTCCTTGGTTTAAAATTTGTGAAATTTGCGAAGCATGTATACAATACCCACAACTCTCTCATTTGCTACATCCTCAATGACGTGGAGTAAACTGGTACTCACATACATTTTTGTGTAATATGAATGTTTTTTCATCTTCAGGTTTCACCTCATATCTACCTTGGTACATGAAGGTGTCTTGGCTCCTCAACAGTGTCGTCACTGAAGGGAGTTTACACATCAGCGCCATCTACTGGATCTTTATTTTCAAAAGTGAATACATTTTACCTTCTTATAAAACATTAACCAAAAAAATATGTGTAATATGTAATGGGTTTCTTATTACATCGGTTTACTAAAAATAAATCGGGGATTTTTAATATGATCTACTAAAGGATATACGCATGTATTGATATATCTTCTTTTTCAGATCAGGACCTTACACTGCTGCGATTCATCCTCCACGGTATGAACTCCATCTACGTCTTGTCCAACCTCCTCATCACCGCCATGCCAGTTCGTGTGTATCACGTGATCTACCCAATTATCTTTGGCGTCATCTACACAGTTTTCAGTGTCGTTTATCACATACTTGGTGGGACCAATGAAAAGGGAGAACCGTATATCTACAAGATTCTTGATTGGTCCAAATTGAAGCGGACTCTACCTCTTGTGTTTCTGAGTACCTTTGTGGCTCTACCGTGTTTGTACTTGGTTATTTTCTTCATTCACATACTGAGGATTCATGTACGTTCAAAATGTCTGAAACAGAGAGAGGAGATAAGAATTCTAGATTCGTCGACTGAAAGAAGTGACAGCGAAAGTGCACGTGTTTAACAAAGTATAATACAACATTGTACCCAAGACGATTATAAATTTGTTTATCTCTGTCACGTTTTTGATTTTTAAGAAGAATACAGCATCTAAAGACATATTAATGATTTACAATAAACTGACGGGTAAAAGAAAGCATACACTTCATGAGTGGATTTGATCGACAAGTTACAAACGTTATAAAATCGTTACTAGGCTGAAAGACCCGTGAAGGTGACTACGCGTGTCGTATGAGGTGACTAACGGGATCGGGTGGTCAGTCTCGTTGACTTGGTTGATGCATGTCATCGTATCCCAATTGTGTGATATCAGTCACTGGATTTTCTGGTCCAGACTCGAGTATTTACAGATCGCCGTCATATAGCTGGAATATTGCTAAGTGCGGCGTTAAACAAAAAAACAAACAAACAAAACCAAAAAATGCTATGCTGAAAACAGTCACAGGACACTGCAAGGTAAAAACACAACTCAGTTACTGTATCACATACATATCGTTTGAATAAATCTGGTTTAATTGTAAGCCATTATCAAACATCGGTGTATACTTTCATTTGGCCGGCAGTTAGAATTTGAAAAAAAGATTTATGTTTTGGGTAATGTTTTTAGTATTCTTTGGTATTTACTGGTATAAAGTCTCATTAGCTCCAAGTCACAGAGGTTAGTGTAGACTGAAACTGAGTAGGATTCTTGTTGGAACATGCAGCTACATCTTAAACGACATACCAAGTGCACACTGTACATACATTAGTGTCGCTGGTTGCATTGGTACCTCTTTATAGAGTCTGTGCTCTGTATTACTTGAAACAGGTCTGCTTTATTTGTTGTGACAGAGGTCTACATTACCTGATGTGTTTGAGGTCTGTATTACTTCTTGTGAAACAGGTCTGCTTTATTTGTTGTGACAGAGGTCTACTTTTTCTCGTGTGACGGAAATCTGCATTATCTGTAGCGACAAGAGGTCTTCATTACCTGTTGAGACAGAGGTGTGCAACACCTGTTGAGACAGAGGCCTGCATTACCTGTTGAGACAGTGGTCTGCAATACCTGTTGTGACAGTGGTCTGCATTACCTGTTGAGACAGAGGTTTGTGTTTCCTGTTTAGACAGAGGTCTGCATTACCTGTTGAGATAGAGGTTTGTGTTATCTGTTGAGACAGAGGTCTGTAGTACCTGTTGAGACAATGGTCTGCATTACCTGTTTAGACAGAGGTCTGCATTACCTGTTGAGATAGAGGTCTGCAATACCTGTTGAGATAGTGGTCTGCAATACCTGTTGAGATAGAGGTCTGCAATACCTGTTGAGACAGAGGTTTGTGTTATCTGTTGAGACAGAGGTCTGTATTACCTGTTGAGACAGTGGTCTGCATTACCTGTTGAGTCAGAGGTCTGCATTACCTGTTGAGAGAGGTCTGCATTACCTGTTGAGACAGAGGTCTGCAATACCTGTTGAGACAGAGGTCTGCATTACCTGTTGAAACAGTGGTCTGAATTACCTGTTGAGACAGAGGTCTGAATTACCTGTTGAGACAGAGGTCTGCATTATCTGTTGTGATTGAGACAGTGGTCTGGATTACCTGTTGAGACAGAGGTCTGCATTACCTGTTGAGACAATGGTCTGCATTACCTGTTGTGACAGAGGTCTGCATTACCTGTTGAGACAGTGGTCTGCATTACCTGTTGAGTCAGAGGTCTGCATTACCTGTTGAGAGAGGTCTGGATTACCTGTTGAGATAGAGGTCTGCATTACCTGTTGAGACAGAGGTCTGGATTACCTGTTGAGACAGAGGTCTGCATTACCTGTTGAGACAATGGTCTGCATTACCTGTTGTGACAGAGGTCTGCATTACTTCTTGTGACAGAGGTCTGCATTACCTGTTGAGACGGAGGTCTGCATTATCTGTTGTGATTGAGACAGTGGTCTGCATTACCTGTTGAGACAGAGGTCTGCATTACCTGTTGAGATGGAGGTCTGCATTACCTGTTGAGACAGAGATCTGCATTACCTGTTGAGACAGAGGTCTGCATTACTTCTTGTAACAGAGGTCTGCAATACCTGTTCAGATAGAGGTCTACAATAACCGCAACCACATAAAAGGCCCTTTACCGAGGCCAACGAGTGCATAACGATATGTCATGGCGGTGTATCGCCGTGAGAACACTGACAGTCTACAGGGATATCCATGTGTATCTTTACGATTACACCGTGGAACCTTCTTGAGGTGAAGTAACTGATCCCTGTAGGATTTCACAATACACTATGACTGTTATTTCATAGACATCGTTTCATCACAATGAAAGTATACAAGGATATCTAACCCATCTTGAACTCTTAACAACATGTTTGGTAAAGATGTCCACATGTATGTAAATATTCGGAACAAGGGCTATTATGATACAGTAGGAACGGCTGATATCGCCTGCCTTGTCCAGATAGGAATACGAGCCGTGCTAACATCCGATTTAAGAGCAGCGCGTTGAGCATGTGTATGATCATGGCCTGTCATTTCCTCACACACGAGACGATAAGAAACAAGGAGAGACTTATCCCATTTGTCCGCGTCAATTCTACTGATGCTCCATGCTATATTTCTGTTTGTTTGTTTGTTGTTTAAGGCCGCACTCCGCAATATTCCAGCTATATGACGGCGGTCTGTAAGTAATCGAATCTGGACCAGACAATCCAGTGATTGATATCATGAGCCTCGATGCGCGCAATTGGGATCGATGACATGCATCAACCAAGTCAGCGAGCCTGACCACACGATCCCGTTAGTCGTCTTTTACAACAAGCATAGTCACCTTTTACAGCAAGTATGAGTTGGTGAAGACCTATTCTACCCCGGATCTTCAAGGGTCCAATGCTACATCAAACCAAGTCAGTGAGTCTGACCACCCGATCCCGTTAGTCGCCTCTTACGACAAGCATAGTCACCTTTTACAGCAAGTATGGGTTGGTGAAGACCTATTCTACCCCGGATCTTCAAGGGTCCAAATCCTTGTAAACAGGTTTAATCGCAATTAGGTCGTTAATTTAGTAACAGCTTTAGGTGTGTCAAGTTCTTTTTAAAGTAACTGTATTCACTGTTCATGCATCGTAAAAAGACAAAAAACAGTTAGGATACTTCGAAATTATGAAACTAATAGTTTTAGCAGCAAACAGGAATGGCGCAAAACAAAGTTGCCAGATATTTTTATGTTCATCGAAACACAATATCATCTCTTATGATACGTTATCTACAGCAGAGCAACACTCATGACGGGTCATGGGCCGGTCATCCACGTGTGACGTCACGTCAAAATGACAACCATATTCGGTTGGTGCATCTACGGAATCGATACCAAACTGCCACATTTTCTGATCCAATTCCTAGTTCGAGACCAATTGGTGGCAGAACACTATCCGGCCACGATGTCAAACGATACGCCCACTATTGCTTCAACGTCACCGTTAGGTGTTGACTGCATCTGGGATTCAGAAGACAGGACTCGGACAGCAGATTGTTCACAGATGAGTCCAGGTTTCATGACGACAGCTCAGGTGGTGGTGCAAGGGTCTACATGCGTTTTAGCGACGCTTGAATTACTCAGTGTCGTTTGTGTGGGGGTTGAAGTGTAATGGTATGGGATGGCATCACACTCGTGGGAGAACTTAATTTATCATTGCGGCAAGATAATGCCCCCTGCCATGATTAAAAGACTGTTTGAGGCAGCATAACAATGTAGTACTGAAATGAACGGCTGTTTTTTCGCGACCGTTCCCCCATAGAAAATGTCTTGGATGAGATTGAACGACGCCGACGACAGGAACAGAACCACCCGGCAATAGCAACTTGTAACAGGTGACAAAAGGACACGCCCTAAAAGAGGAGTTGTGTAACAGCTCAATTAACAATGTCAATATCGGGTGTAGCCACCATTTGAGTTGATGAAGGCGCTTGAAGATACCACATGATCAAACGCAACCTGGGCGACGTAGTTCCAAATGTCTACCAAAGATTGGCCCATCTGAGCTGGCATTATGATGAATCATTGATCAGACGAATGACCAAATGTATGTTGTTTCAGCAACCTAACATTTACACCACTTTATATGAAGCAAAGTTAATCTTTTCCCGAAGAATATTTTCCAACGGCTTCCTGTACTTTCCGCCCACTCACAGAAGTCATACCAATCACAAAACATGGTCTTGTGTGATGCATTATGGAATTGAATTAAGTACCATAACTCACCTGTTAATCAGGCATGAGTGAGTGAGGTAGTTGGATTTAATGCAGTTTGTAACAATATTCAAGCCCAAACACGGCAGGGAAACAAAGGTTGGGTTCACTGACGATGGCCGTGTTCGGAATCGATTCCAGGTCTACACGAGACAAAGATTCCACCGTTATATATGCAAACCCACAGCCCCAGATATCTAAACGTGAATGGTTTAGTTAGGGTGTCTGGTGGAGGAAAGAGGCTGATGGAGAATTGCCAACATGACGGTATACATTATATTGACTTTGGCCTTGACCTTATACCCAAATAACATGGTATACATGTCCACGCGTGGGACTGCATGAATATAAACCACAGAGACAGAATTCTGTTTTGCAGAAATACCACACAGAATGTTTTATCTGGTGTTACCGTTTACAATTGGAGCCGCGCACTCAATAACAAATAGGGCAACTTATGTGACAGTAAATATAGATCATATATGCTACTATTTTCTGAAAACGTCAAATCATGGAAATAATTATCTCAATGTTTATCACATTTATCAGGAACATAATTTCTTTCGCCACACGTTTGAATGTGAACTCAAGGCTCCGATTCATACCGATACAGAAAATGCTCTCCCGTTTCGGTCGACGTCATCATTGCAATCATACGATCGTTAGAGACTGGAGGATTTCCTTTAGTGTGTTTTTTCATTTGAATTCATTTGGGCAGGTCGTATGTATCGTCACCATATTGGTAGCAAATCCCGTTCTGATTTGATTGGGGCGGCGGGGTAGCATAGTAGTTAAAGGTCGTCACGCCGAAGACCCGGGTTCGATTGCCCACATGGGTA